ATGAAATGTTGGTGCCGTGTCCCTCACCCAAGGCAAAAGTTTGGTGTATTTCATGCAAAAAATATATACATTGTATATAGGCATACCCATCACTGAGCTTCTTAATTTTTTATTTTTTTACATTGAGGTCCCGTAAAAAAAAAATTAGACTAGCCAAGATGCACTGGGCGAAAGAGCATATTTTGGAAAATACCCAAAAATGACAGAAAACTAAACAGAAAATCAAAGAAAACAGAAAAAAAAAATTCATTCTGCAAGAAACAAATACCATTTTTTTTTTTCTTTCTTTAAACAACCTAAACCATCATTTCCTCGAACATTTTACTTTTTTTAAAATCAGGAATATCCAAAATAAACACCCTTTTCTCCCCTCAAGATAAAATCGTCTTTCTCCCACAATCAGACACAATCAGAATGTTCTTTTTTTCTTTCTTTCTCCTCCTTAGTTCTGGAATTCCTGCTCGGGTATCCTTCCGAACTCAGCATTGACAACATCGTACAGTGTTGCAGCCTCATTGCAAGGAAAGCCGTCAGTGTCTGTGATACAAGTGAGGGACTCCTGGCTGAACACCGTATCGTTGCCGCAGATGAAGGAGAAGTGGTCGGTGCGCGTGAGCTAAGTGGAGAGGGAGAGGGGAGAGGGAGAGGGGAAGGGGAGGGGTGGTTAATGGGCTGGGTTCTTGTTTTTTTTTTTTTTTGTTTTTTTTTATGCAATGTTTTTTTTTTTTTTTTTATGCAATGACGCGTGCGAGAGTGGGTATGTGCATGTACATTGAGGGGAGAAAGTGAGAGATAGAGATAAAGAGGAGAGGTAAGAGATAGCGTGGTGGGAGACAGATAAAAAGAGACAGAGGTGGAAGTAGAGGCATACAGGCAGAGACAGACACTCATACAGTGAGATGGATGGAGAGAGGCAGAAACGGAGAGACAGACAGACACACAGACGCTCAGACAGACAAACAAATAGGCAGACATACAGATATCGAGACAGGAATAGAGACAAAAACTGAGATAGATACAGAGGCAAATAGACAGCCACAGAAAGAGAAAAAAAACAGACTTCCAAACAGACAGACAACCGAAACAGGTGATTAGAGAGGGCGATGGGAAGGGAAAAGATGAGAGAGAGAGAGAGAGAGAGAGAGAGAGAGAGAGAGAGAGAGAGAGAGAGAGAGAGAGAGAGAGAGAGAGAGAGAGAGAGAGAGAGAGAGAGAGAGAGAATAAAAGAGAAGGGATAATTTAAGGAAGGAAGAATAAAAGAAAGAAAAGAAAAAAAAACTCACGAAAGGGAAGGAAAACAAGAGAAATAACAAGAGACGGAGAGAGGGAGAGAGAGAGAGAGAGAGAGAGAGAGAGAGAGAGAGAGAGAGAGAGAGAGAGAGAGAGAGAGAGAGAGAGAGAGAGAGAGAGAGAGAGAGAGAGAGAGAGAGAGAGAGAGAGAGAGAGAGAGAGAGAGAGAGAGAGTGAGAGAGAGAGAGAGAGAGAGAGAGAGAGAAGAGAGAGAGAGAGAGAGAGAGAGAGAGAGAGAGAGACGAAGGGAAAGATTAAGGAAGGAAGAATGAATAAAAGAAAGCAAAGCCAAAAAATGAAACACAAAAGGGAAGGAAAACGAAAGAAATAACAAGAGACGAGAGAGAGAGAGAGAGAGAGAGAGAGAGAGAGAGAGAGACAGACAGACAGACAGACAGACAGACAGACAGACAGAGACAGAGAAAGAGAGAGAGAGAAAACAAAACAAAAAAGAAAAACAGATTTCCAACAACACGACGACACGAGCGCCTCCTCTCACCTGGCCCAGCTCATCGACGACGGGGACGCAGACGTGGAAGATCTTGCAGTCGTTGTCGATGTCGGCGTAGTATCCGTATGGGCGGCCTTCGCAGCTGAAGCTCGTTACGGGCAGACCCACGATGTCCTCGAAGCCCGCGGTCAGCTGGTAGGCCATGCGGGCGAGGGGCGACGGCGGCGAAGGCGCGGCGAGGACGAAGGCGATCTCTCATGGTGGCTGAGGGCGTGGCGAGGGGGCGGTTCTGGGGAGGGAAGGGCGGGGGTGAGGGAGAGGAAGGAGGGGTTGGTGGGGAGAGAAAGGAGGATTGTGCAAAGATGTGTGTTGAATACGTAGATGTACACATTTACGTATTCACAGGCACGTATTCACACAAACACACATTCACACACACACAACACCACACACAACACACACACACACACAATCACACACACATAACACACACACACACCTTCCCAGCACACCGTGTGATGAATCTCAACACCCAACCCACAACACAACGCCACCCGGTAAAAAAAAAAAAAAAAAAATGATAATAATAATAAATAAAAATAAATAAATAAATAACACAAAAGATTCCGATTCCTAAATCACCTTTTTTCCGACAATAACTTCCCGCAGGACCTCCAGGTTTGGAAATCCTTGACCAAGAAGGATACTCACGGCAGGAGGCAAGAGGAATATCCTACACGAAGGAGATACGAAGTAATTATTCTTACGTTACGAAAGGAGAAAGGGGGTTACGAAAGGAGAAAGGGGGGAAGAGAGGAGAGAAACGAGAGGATAAGGAATGAATGGGAAGATGAGAAACAGGTGATTGGAGAGGGCGATGGGAAGGGAGAGATGGGTGGTTTAAGAGATAGGGAAAGGGGTAGAGGGAGGGGGAGGGGATAGAGGAGAGAGAGAAAGGAGAGAGAGAGAGAGAGAGAGAGAGAGAGAGAGAGAGAGAGAGAAGAGAGAGAGAGAGAGAGAGAGAGAGAGAGAGAGAGAGAGAGAGAGAGAGAGAGAGAGAGAAGAGAAAGAGAGAGAGAGAGAGAGAGAGGGGGGGGGAGGTGAAGAGAAAGCAGTTGAAAGAAGAGGAGAGAGAGAGAGAGAGAGAGAGAGAGAGAGAGAGAGAGAGAGAGAGAGAGAGAGAGAGAGAGAGAGAGAGAGAGAGAGAGAGAGAGAGAGAGAGAGAGAGAGAGAGAGAGAGAGAGAGAGAGAGAGAGAAGAGAGAGAGCGAGAGAGAGAGAGAGAGAGAGGAGAGAGAGAGAGAGAGAGAGAGAGAGAGAGAGAGACGAGTGAGACGAAAGCGGTTAGATGAAGGAAGGAAGAATGAATGAATGAATTAATAAAAACAAAACAAAAATAAACTCACGAAAGGCAAGAAAAATAAAAGAAACAAGAGACGAGAAAACAAGGGGGACGAGAGATGAAGAGGCGAAGGGAGAAGGGAGGAAGTGAGGAAGGAGAAAGGAAGGTCGGAGGCTGCTGGAGGGAGGGAGGGAAGGGGAAGGAGGAGGAGGAGGAGGGAAGGGGGGAGGGGGGTGCACCATCCCTTGCGAAACATCTTTCCTAATTTAACTCTTAAAACCCTTGTGACTTTTTTTTTCCAATTCGAAAATTCACTTTCACTTTGTCCTGTCGTATTTCTTTTCCGTTTTTTTTCCTTCTTTTCCTCTTTCTTTGTGGTAATTCTATTTTTTTTTATCGTTTTATATCTTTGTCGTGTATTCTTATTTTTTGAAAAGGCTTTGATAAGAAAAAAAATAATAGAATATCGATATATCACATCACACCAACAGTAAGAATAACTTGATAACAAAAAGAAAAATAATAATAACAGATAAAATATGTAATAAACATTACATCAACAGTAAGAATAACTAAAAAAAAAAAAAAAAAAAAAAAAAAAAAAAAAAAAAGTTAACAGATAATTATTAATAAAAAAAAAAAAACAACTTTTTCCACTTGAATGCACTTCGAAAACAACCTTTCCCCTTTCCCATTGGAGAAAATGAATAAGAAAATTGATAAAACAAAATAAAATGAAATAAAAGTCCTTGGCTGCGCCGACGAAGCACGAAGGAATTTCCTAATATCCTTTACCGCGAAATTTGAAATAATCCAACTACAATATATATATATATATATATATATATATATATATGTGTGTGTGTGTGTGTGTGTGTGTGTGTGTGTGTGTGTGTGTGTTGTTGTGTGTGTGTGTGTGTGTGTGGTGTGTGTTGTGTGTGTGTGTGGGTATGTCGTTAGGTGTAATAGTGCGTGTGTGTCGTGGTGTGTTGTTGTAATTTATTATATTTAGAGAAGAGAGAGAGAGAAGAAAGACGAAGACACCGACGGGATATGTGTACGAGGGAGAAGAGAGAGTGTGTGTAGTGACGAAAGAGAGAAATTGGGAGAGAGAGAGAGAGAACCCGAGAGAGAAAAAGAAAGATACAGAGGAAGAGAGAAGAAGGAGAGAGAAGTAAGAGGAGTGTGTATGAGAGAGAGAGAGAGAAGGAGAGAGGGAGGAGAATGATGTGAGGATGGAGATGGGAGAGAGGTAGAGAGAAGAGAAGGAACCTGCGAGGAGAGAGAAAGAGAGAGACAGGAGGACGACAAGAGAAAAAGAAAGTAAACGAGAGAGAGAGTAGGAGAGACAAAAATAGAACAGAAAAGAAAGCCGAGAGAGAGGAAAGAAAGTAAGGGTAGAGGAAGAGGAAAGAGCAGAGACAGAAGGACAGATACGACAGAGAAAGAAATAACAGATACGTGCGGAGATGAGAGAGAACCAATAATAGATAAAGAAAAAAAGAAGAGAGAAGAGATACATGAGGAAGAAAGAACGAGACGAGAGAAAGAGAGAGACAGAACCAGGAGACAGAAAAGAAAGAAGCGAGAGAGAGAGAGAGAGACATAAGTAGAAAAAGAAAAGAAAGACATGAGAGAGGAAAGAAAGAACCGAGAGGAGAAAGGAGAGACCAGAGACAAAAAAGAAACGAGAGAAGGGATAAAAGCATACAAAATAGGAAAGGAACAGAGAGAGAACCAAGTAGAGAAGAAAAGAACGGAGAGAGAGAGGAGAGATCTGTAGAAGAGCCGAGAGGAAAAGTGAAAAGTGGAGAACACAGGAACATGCGAAAGTACGTGTATATATACAAAGAACGGGACGGCCGGACAAATATGAGCTGGCCAGGTAAGCGGTTCCTTTTTTGGGTACGTCTCAGGG